TCTAAGAGTTGTGCTTTTTCTGTGGTTGTACTGTTCTTGACATTTTGTCTAACGCATGCCCAAACCCAAGATATACCCTGTGACCTACTATGCTATTTGCAGGAACCTTTGAAATATTCATAGGTATTCAAATTAAAAGTCTTAAACATTTGATTTCTGTATTTCATCCTCAGAGAGCTGAAATCTCTTAGAGTTCTACATTATAAATTTCATGACTTTTGGTACCAATACTCTTAGTTATAATTTTTTATTTTTTATTTTTAGAAAAAGGGGAAGGGAGGGAGAAAGAGAGGGAGAGAAACATCCATGTGTGAGAGAAACATCTATCAGTTGTCTCTCACCTGCCCACAACAGGGGACATGGCCCACAACCCAGGTATGTTCCCTGACTGGGAATTGAACCAGTGACCTTTCAGTTCTCAGGCTGTGCTCCACCACTAAGCCAATCCAGTCATAGATATAAATTTAATAATTTAAATAGCTGGGTGTTTCTAAATGTGATTAAAGTTAAATTAAAAATATGAAGGAGAAAATGGAAATGCTGGTGTTAACCTCATGTAAAGGCATGGAAAAGGCAGTTAACTTGACTGACTTGCAGAAAGGTCAATGTTACAAAGAAGGTTGAGGAGGTTAGGTTAGATCCCACCCATGAGGACCTGTATACCATGCTCATGAATTTGTACATAACATTTCAGTAATAAAAATAGTCAACATTCATTGCAAATGTTTTATTTAGCAGGCAATATTCTAAACATTCTACAGATAATATTTTATTTAATGCTCACAGCACCTCTTTGTGGCATTAGGTTCTATTGCTTCCATTTTACAGACTAGAAAACTGAGCTACAAAGATGTTAAATAATTTGCCCACGGTCAAAAAGTGAGAAAGTTCTAGAGCCACGAGATCAACTGAGACAATCTGAAACTTCAGCCCATGTTCTTGTCTGCTGTGCTCTGCTGTTACCAACATGGTGAGCAAACAAGGAGATTTTAAAAATCAGGAATGATTGAGATTGGATTTTTAAAATGTTTTCCAGTAGCTGTGTGAAAGATAGGCAAGAGAGGAAGAGAGACTTGTGCTAGAGAGACTAACTCTGAGACTATTTTTATAGGCAAGAAGGTGAGCTAAGGTAAGGTGTCCTGAAAATGGCAGATGGGAGGCATTCAAGAGATGTGGGCAACGTAAAAGTGACTGGACATGGTGACCAGTTGTGGGTAGTGAGAGAGTAAGAATCTGAAGTTGGCTCCCAAATTCCAATCTTGGATGGTGGATAATTGGCCATACATTAGATGGAGATAAAGGAGGAATGGAATGGTTGCTAATATATCTTTATTTGGGCACATATTGAACTTGGGGTGCCAAAGAAGCAGTCCTGTTAGGGCTGATAGACATTTGGAAATTAGGTTTTGAGCTCAGAAGAAAGCTATAGTGTAAATGTAACATGAAGTCATGATGGTGAAAAACATCACCCAGGGAGATTGACATGAAGACTGGGAAGCTTGTGAGGGATAGATGGGCAAAGGAGGAGAAGCTGGTAAAAAAAAAAAGACATCATAAAAGAGAACCTCATGATGACAGTGCTGTCTCAGATAGCATGTTCTATGCTGTACCTCCTGGGTGGGGCCTCTTCCACAGGTCCATCTTTCACCATTTCTTCTGCCCCTTGCTCCTCATGATCTGAATCAGTATCCTACTGTTGCTAGGCCCTGGATGACTCCCCATCCTTATTGGAAATGAGAACCCTACATATGCCTTCCTTCCATCAAACCCTGTCAAGTGGCTGGTTGTTTCTAGCCTAGACCCTGACTGATACAAGGATCTTCCCCCATTACCACCCATTCTTCCTTCATGAGTCAACATGGGTAGAGACTTCTGGGAGCCTCCCAGTATTCATTCTACACTTCATCCTTGGTAACAGAACCCTGGACAATGTGGTTCTTGGGAAAACCTACTGTATTTCTCTTTGAAAAACCACATTTTCTAGCCTGCCTTGTTGCTACATTTAGCCATGTCACTGAGTTTTGGCAATGTGAGCAGAAGTGTTATGTGAAATTTTAAGGAAACTTCCTTAATGGGCAGTCCTTTCTACCCAATCCTCCTTCCTTCTGCCTGTAATGTGGATGTAGGATGTAATGGCTGAAGCTCTGGGAGTCACCTTAAACCTGAGGAGACCTTGAGAATGGAAGCCTCCTTAGAAAAGCAGGGCCATGGCCATGTCTTTTGAATCAGAGGGAGTGGAAGAATAATGTAAATAGTAATGCTCTGGAAGTTGCAAGAAGGGAAGCAAAAGGGGCTGACTGGTCTCTTTTTTTTTTTCTAATGATGTGTGAGATGTACTCACTTGAGAATATAGTAGGAGAATAGTAGGGAGAACAAGGAAGGTTAAAGTGGTGACCTTGAAGACTGAGTGAAGGACCAGAACAGCCACAATGAAGAAGACAAAAGGAATTTGGCTAAGTCTAAAGAAAAGGAATGGATAGCCGGTGCCTTTATAGTTAAAATCCAGAAAATACCCTGTCCTCCCAAATCTTTTGGAGAAATCTGTAATTGCACATAGCATAATGCAGGATACTACAGTGTGGTAATTTGGCAACTTACAAGCTATTTTATCCATGTTGTTAGAGCATTCAGATTTTTCAGTGCCAAAGGGGTTAGTTTTTGTAGTAAAAGACATAGCTAGATAATTATTAAGCCTGTTTTTCACATGGAACTTTAAGAAGGGTCTGTATCTAAAATTATTAGTAGTACAACATAAACTACATTTCCACCACATACACACCGAAGCCAAAATAAATTTTACTGCATAAGTATAAACTTGTATTATTACTTGCATTTTCCATGAAATGGTAATAAATCAAAGTGTACATTTGCAAACTGGTAACTGTAAGTAGCTGGGGTTAATTGTGACCTTTATGTTATTTGAACATATTCAAATTTTTTATTATTATTAGAGGATAAGATGTGCTTGGTTTTCTTTGTATCAAGTAAGAATATTTACTCTTAAATGACACACATCCTTAGAGACTTTAGAGCAAAACCTTTCATAATACTTAGCTATTTTTAAATGTCAGGTGCAGTTGAGTTTATTACATTGCTGATCCATGCTGTCACCAAAAGTCTCCTGCTTTTAATGGTACTTAATAGATTGTCAGTAAATTGATAACATTTCCACATTTGGAAAATTTCCACTTTCCTCATTGGGAAAGGAGGGCAGGTGTTTTCCCCAAACTTGGTAAAGGTTTTTGTTTTGTTTCATTTTGTTTCTGTTTTGCATTTGGTTGGTTTAAGGGGAGGTATGAGCTAAGAAAAGATTTTGGGAACAAATATCTTTCTCACCATCCTGAAGCCTATGTGAAAATCAAGGTCACCCCCAAAATTTTGCTGACTCTAGCTGGAGGGCACATTTGCATCAGGTATGTTTTCAATAACTGAAGGGAAAACACAGCGTGAGTTTTAAGCAGAGAAGTTCTTTAGAAGCCTCCACTTACACACTCACACACACTGTTTATGCTACTTAACATTACTCAGGACTGGGTAGAGGACATCCCGGTAAATGGAGAGGGTGTTACTTGGAATTAGAAGACATGGTTTTGATTTCTGGCCTGGCTGCTTATGAGCTTCGTGACTGTGAACAAATTATCTACCATTTCCAACCATGATTGTCTTCTTTATGAAATACGGATAATAAAATCTTGACTCCCAAACCCACTCCTAGCACAAACTGCCTTGAAGATTAATCTCTATGACAAATGCCTGTGAACATGCCTCAAGCCCTGGAAAGCTTAATGCAAAAATGAGGCAGTTTTGCTCTTGAAAGGAATTCTCTAGAATTTACTTTAATGTCCTGATTTGAGTGAGAAAGAGATATACAGGGTGAGGCAAAAGTAGATTTACAGTTGTTTGTATGGAAACAAATACAATAATGCAAGAATAAATATTGCTTTATGTACTCACAACTGTAAATCTACTTTTGACCCATCCTGTGTATGTATATCTATCTAGCATCTATCTATCTATCTATCTATCTATCTATCTACCTACCTATACATTGAAATAATAAAGCTAATGTTGACTGATGAAAATTAAATGATCTTTAGATCCCTGTCCACCATTTAGGGTCTACAGAGCAGTGGAGACAGAGGTTAGATGAGATGGCATTCACACCCTGCCTCCAGACTTCCTACTGTATGGTCTTGGACAAAGCAACATTGCTTCAGTTCTATTTAATAAAATGGGGATAATTACATTGTATTGCTTCATGGACTAAGTGAAAACATGCAAAGCACATGATTATAAGCACTCAGAGTTTTAGATAAGGGGATTATGATCCCAAGCTGTTTGTTAGTAGTCTGAAATTCAACCTTTACATCAACTTACAGTAAATTTACCTCCTCAATTTTGGATTTTCTTTCATTTTACTCTGAGAAGAAAATTTTAAAAAATTAAATGCTGTCTGTCATTACAGTGCTGCAGCTTTCTAAAGTTTGTGTAATTAGCCACTGCAGTGCCATCTTCCTTTCATTTAAATGGCCAATTGGTTCTGTTTGAAAATTCATGCAAAAGGAGTTGCTGGGTTCAAAGAAAAATTCAACAATTGGATAGTACATGAAGTAAGGTTAAACTGAATTACAATTGACCCATGAACAACACAGATGTGAATTGTGCAGATCCATTTGTATATGGATTTTTTCAATAGATATTGTAAAGGTATTCTCTCTTCCTTATGATTTTCTTAACATTTTTTATCCAGCTTACTTTATTGTAAGAATATAGTATTTAATGCATATAATGTTCAAAATACGTATTAATCAACTATTTATGATATCAGTAGTAAGCTATTAGTAGTTCAGTTTGGGGGAGTCAAAAGTTATACATGGATTTTTGATTTCATGAGGAGTCAGCACTGTAACTCCCAGATTGTTCAAGAGTCAACTGTATAAATAAACTTTCACTGAATAGTGCTTTACCTTTTTTGTGTGTTATTTTTCCTTTCTCCTTAGCTCTCACCTGAAGTTTAGTAATCTCACACTAATTTCAACCAACGGACTCCCTGGAAAAAAACTTCTGGACACTGAACAAAGGAAGTTTTTAGCAAGCGAGTATGAATTCTATTTGCTTTTTCATTCTGAACCCTAAATGTCCTAATGTGTATGTAGTCATTTGTGTACTAAATAGATTTCAGACTAGAAAGAGAAAAGTGGTGAGCTTTACTTCTGGATTATAGATGTCACTTAGGAGATACGAGTACAAATCTGGTAATGAGTGAATGGCAGGGTTGGGCTGCCATTTTCTGTTTGTGGAAAGATGCCTATGCCTTCTTCTAGACAACTGGGGTGGAGCCTCCTAACCCAGTCACTGCATGTGCTCTGCTGCCCTGTAGTATCTGAGTGATGAACACTACAGGACAGGGGAGCTTAGTGGCTATATTTTAATCAGACTAGGCAACTCCTCCAAGGTTCAGAGTTGGGAGATAATGGTCTGGTACCTTACTGGGGTGTAGATCTCACACTTACCCCAGCCATCTATAATCAGGGACTGACAGGCAAGACTTTCTATGCCACTCTAGGCAAGCTTTGTTATTTGCATCCCAGTAGAATCCCATTTCATTATCACACAGCTTCTATTCATTTTAATTTCCTGTAGCAAAACAAGGGTACAAGAATTATTAGGCTCCCTTTCTGTAGATACAATGTTCAAATTTTTCTAATGAGGAGGAAGGAAATTGTTCTTTTTCAGGGTATTCATTTTAGAATCCATGACAAAGGGATCCTCTTTCCTCTGTGAATAATATTTACATTGCCTTCAAACAAAGAGAAAACCTGCAGCTTTCTTGCTAGCAGAATCAGGCTCATTTTGACTTAATACTTTTTATCAGATTATGAACCTTTTTTTTTTCGAAGGACATCATTAGGATGCAGAGCCGGGGGAAAGCCAGGTGGATGCAGATTCAGATCCTGCCCCTACTACAAAGGGGATTTCATTCTCTGAACTTTTGTATATTTTTTTTACTGTGAAAAGTGTATGATAAGCCAACCTTGCTGGAGTTTTTTGTTAAAAGTAGTATAACATCAAGTTCTGACAAAGAGTAGAGGATCAACACATGTACATTCCCTTCCCTCATTGTCCTCTTTCTAAATTAATGATTCCCAGGAAATGCTGTTGTTATTGATAAATGTCTCACAGGAACTTAATTCAGTCAGCTTGGTAAAGGTTTCCATCAGCCTCTGTGATAAGTATGTTATAGCAGAGAACAACCAATAGTGACTTTCCGCTGGTGTGATGCTGTGTGGGATCTGTGTGTGGCAGGTGGAAAGTCCCCTGGTTGGTGCCCCTGCTTCTGTTCCTGCCTCTCCACATTCTCACCACAGGAGCCAGAACAGTGCTGTATAAATGTGAGTCAGATCACACCAACTCCTAACTGTCTAATATGGTGGCTACTGGCCACATGTGTCTATGTAAATTTAAATTGATAGGACTTTAGATTAAAAATTCAGCTTCTCAATTATGTTAGCCATATTTTATGTGCTCAAACAGCCAAATGTGGCCAGTAAATGCCATGTCAGTCAGCACAACTACAGAACAGTTCCATCATCACAGAAAGTTCTGGAATGCTTCAACCTAAAGTCTATCCCTGTCACTTATTTCTCTGACCTCATCTTTTACCATTTCCACTCTAACCATTACCAGCCTTCTTAATATTCCTGAAACAGAACAGGCAGGTCCTCACCTTGAGGGTCTTTTCTGTTCTCTCTCCAAGTCTTTGCTGAAATGTCAACTTTTCAATAAGACCTATCCTGACCACCCCATTCATTAGCAGCCAACACTAACACTCCAGTCCTCCTCACTCTGCTGTATTTCTTCTTGCTACTGAAATCTTTATAAATATTATATAATTTACCTTTTAAAATTATGTTTTCTCTTTATATTCTGAATCCTTCAACTACAATGTAAACTCCATGAGTGCAGGAATTTTTTGCCTCTTTGTTCACTGATGTATCCCCAGCATCCAGGACAGAGGTTGGCACGTAGCAAGTGCTCAATAAATTATGTTGAAAAAATGAAGTTTCATCCAAACTTACATGTGAAAGTCATCTCAATAAGTTTATAGATAGGAACTAAATGACACAGCTAGGTGCCTCTGGATGTGTAACTGCATGTTATCATCATTCTAGAAACTATAAATTGAAACATCAGTAAGATGTTATCTTTCACATGGTCCTCATATGGCAATAAAGGAAATTATCCCTGGTCATGAAGTTTAAAAATAACAAATGCATTGACATCCATAAATTTAATAATTTAAATTTCTTATTTTAAATATAAATTCTGACCTTTGCCCTAACCAGTGTTTTGATTTATTATTATTGTTATTATATATTTTAATATATTTTATTGATTGTGCTATTACAGTTGTCCCATTACCCCCCTTCATTCCCCTCCACCCTGTATACCCTCTCCCACCCACATTCCCCGCCGTTAGTTCATGTCCATGTGTTATAAGTTCTTTAGCTTCTATATTTCCCATACTATTCTTGCCCTCCCCCTGTCTATTTTCTACCTACTATCTATGCTACTTATTCTCTGTACCTTTTCCCCCTCTCTCCCCCTCCCACTCCCTTGCTGATAATCCTCCATGTGATCTCCATTTCTGTGGTTCTGTTCCTGTTCTAGTTGTTTGCTTAGTTTCTTTTTGTTTTTGTTTTAGATGTGGTTGTTACTAATTGTGAGTTTGTTGTCATTTTGCTATAAATGTTTTTTATCTTCTTTTTCATAGATAAGTCCCTTTAACATTTCATATAATAAGGACTTGGTGATGATGAACTCCTTTAACTTGACCGTATCTGGGAAGCACTTTATCTGCCCTTCCATTCTAAATGAAAGCTTTGCTGGATAGAACAATCTGGGATGTAGGTCCTTGCCTTTCATGACTTGGAATACTTCTTTCCAGCCCCTTCTTGCCTGCAAGGTCTCTTTTGAGAAATCTGCTGACAGTCTGAGGGGAACTCCTTTGTAGGTGACTATCTCCTTATCTCTTGCTGCTTCTAGGATTCTCTCCTTCATTTTAATATTGGGTAATGTAATTATGATGTGCCTTGGTGTGTTCCTCTTTGGGTCCAACTTCTTTGGGACTCTCTGAGCTTCCTGAACCTGATGGAAGTCTATTTCCTTTGCCAGAATGGGGAAGTTCTCCTTTATTATTTGTTCAAATAAGTTTTCAATTTGTTGCTCTTCCTCTTCTCCCTGTGGTACCCCTATAATTCGGATGTTGGAACATTTCAAGATGTCCTGGAGGTTCCTAAGCTTCACCTCATTTTTTTTGAATTCTTATTTCTCCATTCTTTTCTGTTGGTTGTTTCTTTCTTCCTTCTGGTCCACTCTATTGTTTTGAGTCCCAGTTTCCTTCCCATCATTATTGGTTCCCTGTGCATCTTCCTTTATTTCTCTTATTGTAGCCTTCATTTGTTCATCTAATTTGTGACCGAAATCAACCAATTTTGTGAGCATCCTGATCACCAGTGCTTTGAACTGTGCATCTGATTGGTTGGCTATCTCTCGGTCGCTTAAAAGTACTGATTCTGGGGCTTGCAATTCTGTTTAAGCCATCTCCCCTCACCGCTTTAGTCTGGTCATACCTTTTACGTATGAGGGGTGGAGCCTTAGGTGTTCACCAGAGCAGGGCACCCCAGTCTCTGGGTTGTGACGTTGTATGTGGGGATGGGGTCCGAGAGGGACCAATGGTGCTTGCTCTACTCTCCGTCAGACCTCAGTCCCTTCCACCACTTCCCTCAGCAAACAGGGCCCCTCTGGTGCCAATTCCCATGTGGGTGGGCTTGTGTACCCCGTAGGACTTCCCAAGGACCTCTCCTGTGAGTCTGGGAGTCTCTCCCTACTCCTCAACCCTCACAGGTGTTTTCAATCAGTGTCCTGAGGCTCTATTTCCCAGCACTGTGATCCTGGGTTGCACACAGTGCCTTGCTTCACAATCCCTGCCTCACTAGGTCTTCCGGTTGCCACCCCTCGGCTGGGGTCTGCCAGCTGCTGCGGTCTTGCGTGCCTTGGATGCCTTATGCGCCTGTTGCCAATGCTCTCTGCTCTCTGCACCGTGACCCGCGCCCAGCTGCCAGACTCTGCCCCTCTTACCGGTCTGGATGAACGGGTCTATTTTAACTTCTTGGTTGTTTGTCTTCCATACAGTTCAATTTTCTGTCAATTCTGGTTGTTATTCTGTTTCTGAATTGTTGTTGTCCCTATCTTGGTTGTGCAAGGAGGCACAATGTGTCTACCTATGCCTCCATCTTGGCCAGAAGTGTTACTATATATTTTTTTAATTTTTATTTTAATTGTTGTTCAAATACAGTTTTCTGCCATATTTAATAGCCAGTTTTGTCTTCATTTTCTGGCCCTGTCCAGAGTCTAGTGGAGGTGCTAATGACATGCTAGGGATGCAGCAGAAAGAAAGGCAATGGGAGGACAAGAGAAAGAGGTTGCAGGAGAAATCCATTAATTGGACAATCAGCCCCGAGTAACTGAAAGTTAATTGTGATGCTCCTTTTTCTAAGAGTGTCACAATAAATCCTTTATGAAAACCTCCGTGGTTCTCTCTAGTTCTGAAGGGTACTGATTCCATGAAGTGAAGGCCTCTCCCATAATTATATTTGCTCCCCTGGAGTTTGCTTCTAATTTTGCACCTGGAGCTTTGGGCTAAGTCTTCTGATACCAGGTGTTGGGTCCCTACAACTTAAATAAGTGAGCTACTTGTCACACATGTCCTCTTCCAAAAATTTTCCTGTCCTGCATTTCTGCTTTTTAAAAATTATTAGTATCTCTAGAATATTCTATGAATACAACCTTTCATTTTATTTTCAAGTCTGGGTCAAATTAGCTTAAGAAACATGAAGTTTCATTGATGTTCCTTCTTTGGCTGCTTCTGTCTTTTCCAGAGAACCCTAGTGGAGGTATTTCTCTTGTCTTTAAGCCATGAGATAGTCCCTGTTATGTTAGAATCTTAATGTTCAGTAACTCTGCTTAGGAAATACTTTTGGGAAAATATCACTTATATTTTCCAATGTCTGCTTTCACCTGCCTGATGGATAAATTAAAGAAGGTCCAGAATGGATAGTGATATTCAGAATAGGTAGTAATTACCTATACAGTGACATTTTAAATTGAGAAATTCCACAGTAACAGACTGTAAAAGCAGCACCCCACATTCCTCAGTGCTTCCTAAGGTTCCTAAAAATCAGCTCCCAAGTGCCACTTCCCACTAGACAAAGCTTCAGATTTTAACCCTGAAATATGCATTCTGACATCTCACTATTGTCCTACTGTTATTAAAAATAACATTGTCTTAGCCTTCCCCAAATTTCCCCTGAGAACTTTATCTTTGAGCAAATCTTCATAAGACTAATCCCTATGTACTATTTTTAATTTTTCCTCATCTTGGGCGACTGACAGTGCTATTTCTATTATACAGAAACTGCGATGCAAATGAGAACAATCGTTTGTGGGTCTCTCATGAATGTACAAAATTAATGATGTTTTTTTGTTTTTCTGTAAAGCTACCAAAATGGTTTTTTAAAAAAGAATTTCATCTCTTTCTATTATTTTTTTGTGACAGGCCAGTCACTGATTTTCTTTTCTTATTAAGAAGAAATTTTCTTGTTTTTAAGTGTTGTTTCATGGAGAGATACAAAGCCCAGAGCTCCCTTCTCTTTCACAGGTCCTATAACGGGGTCTAATGTGCATCCATTATGGGGATTCTTTTTGTTTGTTGAGAGCAGACTCATGAGTGGATCAAAAAGAAAAATGTTCTCCCATTACCACGTTAGTCCTGTTTGCCTCCCAGGCGAGTAAACAGGATTATGTATCATTAATATCATTTAGAATAATACCCTTCACATATGCATTCCACTTGAAAAAACAGCATCTCTTATATTCTCACGTTTATCCCTTACAATGGTCAATGCATGTAGGGAGGAAAATTATCCCACGTTGAGAGGTGAAGAAACTGAAGTATTGAAAGGGGATGCAGAGTCACAGGGTCCAGTCTTGCTGGTGACAAGGCAGGGGCACAGGAAAATGAAACACACTGTTCTGCCACCTACACTCTTATAGTGGCATCAGAACAGAATCACTAGATTGTCACATTAGGAGGTTACATCTTTCAGGAAGTTCTGGAAACAACCTTCACAAAACTCTAAAAAACCCCGACACCAACAAGAAACACACTTTTCTTACATTATAATAGAATGTTCAAACTCAGTGGAACTGAGACAAGAAAACATATCCACCCTGGATCTGCTGTTTTCAAAAGTATCAGTACCCCATAAATCACCTTTGCCCTGTAGGGTGAACCTCAAAAGTCTCCAGGGACTGTAGTTGTTTCAAACATAATTCCCTAATTGACATCTTCTCTAAATAAAATGCATTCTGTTGTTTTGGCACAAATCCATACACTCATTCTAAGAATGAGTCACTTACTGAAAATTGTTAGCAAATAGGAAGGGTTCTCAATATTTAGGACCTTGAACCTGCCTTCAGGAATCCTGAGCAATGTCACTTTCATGGCCAATAGGACAAGTCAACAGCTAAAGTAAATATATACTCACCATGAAACAGAAACAGAAGAAGGGGTATATATTATATATATGATTCATGCAACATACACACACACACACACACACCCTGTTGTGGACTGGTCATTTAGCTATAATGGGATGATGTCAATTTATGACTGTCTTATGACGAAAAATCTCCTAGTTATGTAGCTTTGGTGCTGGTAAATTCACAGCAAGAGCACAAACTCAGCCCACTGGGGGATTTGAACCAGCTCACCAAATGTCTAATTAGTGCCTGCTGTCAGCTGCTCAAATGTCACTGATGGAGCTTCTCTCTCCACAGCCACTGTTTTAATGATAAAGATCATGCATTGATGTCACTGTGCTCCTGGGTCAATGTGGTGGTTGGTAGAATGACTGCCATAGACCGAGCAGCGAAGCATGTCGTGGTTTCCCAAAAAGAAATCGTGCTCTATGACCACCTCATCCTCTGCACCGGACAGCAGTACCAGGTGAGGCTATGCATGTCCATTGGGGTAAATAATAGTTAATGTGTTCACCAGGCACACCCTCTCTGGGTAAAGAACATGCCTTCTCACCTGGCAACTACCATTCTGTATTCATAAACGTGTCCTGCAAAGCTCATGCACACAACTAGAATTGTGTCCAAAACCCTCATGGAAACCCATTCCAAGAAAAGCATTCTGCTCAAGGATAAAAATCATAGCAAGTCAGAGAAATGTCATCCTTTAAGCTGTTGTCCAAAAGTCTAACACTTGCTGCTCACCAGAACCAAATCCAGACACAACCCACATGCATTTGTGGGAAATTAATTTATTTCTGAAGAGGCTAACATTTGGCAGTGGTGATGGGCTCATGCAAAAGTATTTCAAACATGCACACCTTCTGTCATCCCTTGTTTTATTTTGTCTCTCAGTTGTAAAACTAGGAAATGTAACTGATTGATTACCCAGTGATTATGCTGTCCATTTTGATTAAATTCTCAAACCACATGTGAGGAAAGCATTGCTGGATAACTGAAATTGTTTAATGTCTTAGGGAAGCAAATTTTAATATTCTCACTTTGCAACACACATTAGCATTTCATGTGGCCAACAAAATATGGCATATCTTTAATTGAAAGAGATTTACTTTGTAAATCAAAGATGGGGTCTTTTCATTACATTTCTCTCAGAAACCTGGATGGGCCTCCCCATGGTGGGTTTGTTCCTGAGGAATATGAAGTAATTCATCCCCACCACAGGCACTGTCATATTTTATCTGGTACTCCATTAGTTAGGCCATCTTGTGAATGGTCCTGGATTCAAAGGGTGTGTGTGCATGCATATGAGCATGCATGCATGCAGGTTTCCCTTTCATAGCCAAGCCAGGAGGAGGGAGACAGACAGTTAAGCAACTCCAAACATCATTACATGCTGTTCTGAGCCTTGGCTGCACATTGAGATCATCACCTGGGGCACTTTTAAAATATACCCATACCTAGAGCCCTCCTGCAGAAGCTCTGTTTTAATTATTATAGGGTGAGGTCTCAATCATCAATATTTTTTAAAGCTCCCAGATGATTCTAAGTCAAGGTGAAGAACAACTGACTTGAACTTTCTTGACCTAGAATCTCTCATCTGTACCTTAGAGCAGAACTTCTCAAACTATCATGTGCACACATCTCCCCTGTGCCTCTCATTAAAATGCAGAGTCTGAGCAGAAAGTGGGCAGGGACGGCTGAGATACTGCAGTTCTAACTGTCTCCCAGGTGAAGCAGATGCTGCTAGTGACTAGGCCATATTCTGAGTATCAAGGTTTGGATCACCCTATGAGTAATTTCTTTTTTCTCTTCTTTTTTTCTTTTTCCTAGTTAAAGGATAAAAATAAACTTAAGGAATATCTTATTTTGATACTTAAGTATTCCTCTTTTTAAGCATTAGGCCAAAAGGAAACACCATGAACCCCTTTAGCTTCCCCTCCTTCACCAGCTCCATTGATTTCCAGCTGCTGCCTGTGACCATAGACTTCAGAAAATATGAGTGAAAGATTCAGGCATCTGCCCATGTGTGTCCAGCTGCCCCTGCAGCTTTACTCTGTGGCACATTAATCTCTTGCCCTTTTAACAACAAGAAAAATGAAATGAAAAAGTGATAAAAGACTTCCAATTTAATTTCTCTAGAAGTACATAAAAATTAAAGGTACATAGAGAGTGATACCAAAAAAAAAAAAAAAGAAGAAGAAGAAGCTGAATTCACTTCAGGGGTGGAGGGTTTCAGTTCTTATTTCTTTTCCTATTTTCTTCTCCAACTTTTTCATGGTTTTTGCCCCAATCTTGTAACTTACAAAACAAACACAACAAATAAATATGATGAAAATGAAGCAGAAACTCAAAACAAGAAGATAACTATTATAAAATATAGTTATAAACTTTAACCTCTAGTCAGACCTTTAAATGGCATGTATGACTCTAAAATGTTCAATATTTTTGATATATTTTTATCAGATAATCCATGCACAAGACAAAACAAATTGTGCTGCAGGGTTGCATGTGAGAAGGGCTACTCTCTACTTCTAAGCCAAGGGCACCCACTTTGAAGCATTTCTGTTGTTAGTTCTTCAATACTTTTACTCCTTAAATCCAAATAATGCATTTATAGAAGTTTTTTCCTTGATCTATCAACATCTCACATTTTGGAAGATGAAGATATCTAGCTCCACATTCAGTACCCTCTGATTCCCCTTTCCACCTTGCCTATCAGTTCAGCTGTTTTTATTGGTGAGCACATGCTGTTCCTGGAAATCACTCTGAAACAGCTTACAACTGGGGCCACTCTCCATAGCTCATGGAGAATCACACAGAGAGGGAGAAATGCCTACCCCTTGCCTGGATTTCGGTTATCTCAAAAATAGGGAGAATAAAAATTTGTCAGCTCAAAGTCAAATAAGGCTGGTACTCATCATGAGAAGACCATGGTAGGGACTCTCAAAAGGGTGACACTCACTAGAAGCCAGCAGGTGGGGTAAGAACATCCAACCAGGCCTGGGAATGAGCCAGGATGTTAGTTATGGTGAGGTTGATGTGGGTCAGCAATAAGATGTGGTCACCACAGAGGCTGATTACATCTTAGATGGGGAAAATAAGAGTGTGGCATGCAAAATGGTGCAGCCCCAGGAGAGAGCCTTCTACAAACAGGTAGAAAAGAGAGTTGTGCACACCACTTTGTCTTCCCTGTAGGAAATGAGAAAGGCACTCCCTGTCACTCAGCAGCACTGAACATGAAGAGACTTCACTGTGTGTGAGGATGATAAAAGTGCAAAGTAACAGCAAGAGGTCAAAGAAAAGTGGCATTTTAAAACAAAGCTGAAAATTCTTTGGCTTTTCTTATCCAGGAAGTGGAGTCCCCTCCCCTTTGAATCTGGGCAGGCTTGTGACCACTTTGATCAGTAGAGTACAGATGCAGTGTTGTGACATAACTTCTGAGGCCCAGTCAAGGGCCATACATTATCTCCTTGTTCATGTGAACCACTGCTCCTGGAACCCTGATGTGTCACATAGGGAGTTCAGATAACCGGTGATTGTCATTCTGGAGATGCCATACATCGGTTCTCCACTGGATAGCACCAGCTGACCCCAGCCTTTCTGCTATCCCTTCCTAGGCACCAGCTATGTGAGTGAAGCCATCTTGGGCCCCCACCACATGAATGTCACAGTTACCTCTATCAATAACACATGGAATAAAAGAATTGCCCAGCCAAGCCCTACCCAAATTTCCGACGCAAAAAATCATGAGGAGTAATAAAATGATGTTGGTTAAAATATTGGCAAACCACATCCAGCAATATGTTAAAAAGATCATACACCATGATCAAGTGCCATTCATCCCAGGGATGCAAAGATAGTACAATATTTGCAAATCAAATAAAAGTAATACATCACATAAGCAAAATGAAAGACAAATATCACATGAACATAGCAATAGATGTGGAAAAATATTTGATAAGGTACAGCACCCATTTATGAGAAAAAACACTCAGCAAAGTGAGAGTACAAGGAGCATACTTCAACCTAATAAGGGCCATATATGAGAGACCTACAGCCAACATCATACTCAATGGGCAAAAACTAAAAGCTTTCCCACCAAGATCAGGGACAGGACAAAGATGTGCACTTTCAACACTCCTATTCAACATAGTATTGGAAGTCCTAGCCACAGCAATCAGACAAGAAAAAGAAATAAATGGCATCCAAATTGGAAAGGAGATAGCAAAACTGCCATTGTTTGCAGATGACATGATACTGTACATAGTCAATCCTATAGACTCCACCAAAAAACTATTTGACCTATTAAGTATATTTGGCAAAACAGTGGGATACAAAGTCAATATTCAGAAATCAAAGGCAGTTTTGTATACCAACAAAGAAACATCAGAAGCAGAAACCAGGAAAAAAATCCCATTTGATATAGCAACAAGAAAAATAAAGTACCTAGGAATAAACCTAACCCAGGAGGTAAAAGATCTGCACTCAGAAAACTACACAACACTGAAGAAAGAAATCAAAGAAGACACAAACAAATGGAAGCATGTATCATGTTCATGTATTGGAGGAAATAACATCATCAAAATGTCCATACTACCCAAAGAAATTTATAGATTCAATGCAATACCTATTAAAGTACTAATGGCATATTTCACAGATATAGAACAAACACTTCAAAAATTTATATGGAACCATAAATAACCCTAAATAGCTGCAGCAATTTTGAGAGACATGAACAAAGTAGGAGGAATCACAATGCCTGATATCAAACTGTATTACAAGTGCACTGTAATCAAAACAACCTGGTACTGGCATAAAAACAGGCACATGGACCAATGGAACAGAACAGAGAGCCCAGAGATAAACCCAAGTCTCTATGGTCAATTAATATTTGACAAAGGAGGCAGCAACATAAAGCGGAGTAAAAATAGCCTCTTTAACAAATGGTGTTGGGAGAACTGGACAGCTACATGCAAAAAAATGAAATTAGAGCACCAACTTACACCTTATACAAAAATAAATTCAAGGTGGATAAAAGATTTAAATATAATCCGTGACACCCTTAAAGTTTTAGAGGAGAATGTAGGTAGGAAAATCTCAGATATTTCATGCAGAAACTTTTTTACTGACATATTCCCTAAAGCAAGGGACATAAAGGAAAGAATAAACAAATGGGACCTCATCAAAATAAAAAGCTTCTGCACAGCTAAAGAAAACTATCAAAATAAATAGAGAACCAACTGTATGGGAAAACATATTTGCCAATGATACCTCAGACAAGGGTTTAATCTCCAAAATATATAAAGAACTTACACGACTACACTCTAAGAAGACAAGCAACCCAATTAAAACATGGGCAAAGGACTTGAACAGACACTTCTCCAAGGAGGACATACAGAGGATCCAAAGACACATGAAAAGATGTTCAATATCGCTAGGTATCAGAGAGATGCAAATTAAAACCACAAT